TTGAGACGTACGACGAGTGGGCGCTGGCGGTCAGCTTGGCCACCACCACCGTCGGCTTCCTCATCCCCTTCCCCGTCATCGCGGCATTCAACGTGCTGACGGCGCGCTTCATCCGGCGCGCCAAGCCCGAGAGCCGCAAGCACTGCCTGCTCATCTACGCCTACGTCGGGGTGTTCCTGCTCAGCTGGCTGCCCTTCCACGTGGTGCTGACCCTGCTCACCCTCGAGGGCAACCACATCGTCCTGCACTGCACCTTCGCCCACCTGCTCTACTTCTTCTACGACATCATCGACTGCTTCACGCTGCTGCACTGCGTCGTCAACCCCATCCTCTACAACTTCCTCAGCAAGAACTTCCGCAGCAAGCTCATCTCCGCCGTGGTCAAGTACATCCCCAAGGACCACGGTGGCCAGAAGGGAGCTGGGAATTCCTCCTCCAGCACGCAGCACTCCATAGTCATCGCGAAGGACAACAGCCCTCCCAACTAATGAGGGTCAGGCTCTCCCAACTTCCATCCTGGTGGCTCCCTGGGGACGGTGGGATTGGTTTTCCTGCTGCTGAGGACACAATTTGCTTGGGCACCTCCCATGCCAGCTTTGAGCAGAGCTGGGAGCTATGGACATCTTGCCCTGGAGCGCTGTTGTGTCCGACCTAAAGGAAGGATAACAGAAAATTATATTCCCTGTTTGATAAGAACATTATATTCCCTTGCAATAATAAAGTTTGTGACTCCACTCAGTGTCTGACCCAGCCCCAAGATCAGAGCCCCATCCTGTGCCCCCAAGCTGTGGGGTTGGGGTGCAGCATCTGCCCCACCATGGGTGTTCCTGCACCCCCAAACTGCCCCTGACCCCCAGCCCTGGGCGTGGCACTGCCTGGTTTGTGCCATCCCGAGTGGGTGAGGAGGAATTTGGATCACAAACCTCCCTCCATAGTGCCCAGCAATGTCAGAGCCTGATTTTTGAGAGATGAAGGCCAAGCAGCCCAAGGGGCTGAGCAGGGCACAGACCTGAGGGAGGGGGGGAACAATTTGGATTTGAGACCAGCCACTCCTTCAGAGCAGTTTTGCAAACCCAGCTGTAAATTTTTTACCAATTTTAAATTAGCGATGGCTAAACTGGGTTTTACTGGGAAAGGCTGCTCAGACTAACTTTGGGTCCCCCATCCCATTAACTCCTCTGCAGCATCCCCTGGCGGGTTTTTATGGCCACTGGGTGGATTCCTCAACCCCAACAAGCCCCAAAACCCCTTCCCCTTCCACCAAAGCCGCTGTGGGAGCGCAGGGATGTGCAGAAATCCTCAGAGCTGGGTTTGTGCCGTGCAAGGAATGCGGAGAAAGTTCATCCCTGTGTGGATGCTGATCTCTGTCACGTGCTGGGGTCAGGCCTTTGCTGGGCGAAGGTGACGGAGGGACCATAAATCTCCCAAAGGCCTTGAGCTGCTGGAGGAACTCTTGGTGGCAATAAAAGCAAAGCATCAGCAGTTCTGGGGACAGGATGCTGGCTCAGGGCTGGGAGCAGGATGTCCCAGGAGAAGCCCATGACCAGGATGTGGGGTTATCACAAAGCTCTGCCGCTTCCAGGGGTCCCTGATGGGGGAAAAAAACCTCGAAATTCCTCAGGGTTCCTTCTGCAGGGATGTTCCTTTTTATCCCAGTGGGAATAATCCAAATCCAGGCTCCAGCAGGGTCAGAATTCCCTGCTCAGGAATTCCCTGCTCAGGAATTCCCTGCTCTGATTTGCACCCACAGCTCCCCACCACCTCCATTCCCTCATCCCAAATCCCCCCCTTGATCTTCCCTTTGCTCATTCCCTCCCATTCCCAATGGAGAAATGGATGATAAACCCAAAGCCAGCCACTCACCAGGGCAAAAATATATTCAAGATATTTCAACGTGTAAAAGTTGGCATTTCACCTAATAAACTTAATTTTTAACTGAATTTCTCTGCACTTTTGTCCATAAACTTAAGGGCCAGAGTGGCCTCAAATAAATTGTCACCCATGTGGTGAGATATTTNGGTGCCACCAGGGTGACACCCACGGGTGACACCAGATGTGGCTCCTCTTGGCTTGCCAGGCTCCAAACGAAGCGGGAAGAGCCCTCTGGGAGGGCGGAATCCCGCAGGATTCCCAAGGGAACGGCCGCTCCTGGGCACATTCACAGCCTCTTCGCTGTGCTGGGATCGGGGCTCTCACTTGGGGCATTTGGAGGATGTTCAGGTCTGCGTTTTCCCAGAAATGTGTAATTTTGTCACCTATTTGGATGTCCCGATGGCTCCCAGCAGAGTGAGGGTGGTTGGTGAATAATCACACCCCGAGGGCTCGGGTGCGAGCCGTGGCTTTCCCGCTGGAGCTGCCTCTGTGACAGTCACCAACACCTCTCTGTGTCCCAGGCCAGCCCCTGGGACAGGGGACAGCCACCACATGTGGGGACTGTCATTTGTGGCTGGAATTTATGTGAGGGCATCACCTGGTTGGACACAGCATTTTTTGAGGGTTGATGCAGGGAGTCACCGTGGGAGTGAAAATTGGGTTAGAAGCTGCCAAAAGGATCTTTTTGAGCCCCACACAAGGGATCTCAGCTCAGTGCTCTCCCTTTCCCTGCAGCCACCAGGATGGCCGAGGAGGTGACCACTGTCCCCATGGACACACACACTGTCCCGAGTGAGTACAGCGACTACCACAACCTGTCCGAGCTGTTCTACCTCCTGAACCACACCTACACCTTCTGCGAGTTCAGCCTGGACGAGAACATCAAACGAGTGGTTCTCTTCATCCTCTACCTGGTCATCTTCGTGGTGGGCTTGGTGGAGAACCTCCTCGTCATCTGGGTCAACTGGCAGACACGGGGCACCAAGAACTTGGTCAACCTGTACATCATCAACATGGCCATCGCCGACCTGGGCGTGCTGCTCTCGCTGCCCATCTGGATGCTGGAGGTGATGCTGGATTACACCTGGCTCTGGGGCAGCTTCCTCTGCCGCTTCACCCACTACTTCTACTTCGCCAACATGTACGCCAGCATCTTCTTCCTCACCTGCCTGAGCGTGGATCGCTACGTGACCCTGACCAGCTCCTCCGCTTTCTGGCAGCGGCACCAGCAC